GGTATTTTGGCATATGGTACTAATTTTTGTAGGGACCAGTTTGGTGGCCTTCCTGTGGCATCAATTTATTTCTTTTTTAAATTAGCATCTTTTGGGACGCGAAAAATGTACGATAATAATTTATTTATCATTTACATATATCCTACGCAACTTCTTAACATCACCATGTACCTGGCAAGCTTTTGTTAAAAAACCCCTGGTTGGTCAAGATATTGTTAAATATATGAAAACAAACACACACTCATGCATAACAAATAAATAGCCAGGAGAATTATGTTGACTTATTTTTAGCAAAAGTCACTATTATAATATTATCTGAATTCTGAATCATGCCAATTAGGTATAATAAGGCACTCGAAGCTTTTGAAAACATAAAAGTATGGAATTAGCGCGAAGATAAGGCATAATATACTATAATTCAACCCAAAACACTTCACCGATGATTAACCTAATTATTTAAGCAACTTACTTTATGTTCGCTAGTTACGAATTCAGTGTAGTAAACGGTGAAAATAATCAAAATAATTAAATACCATTATGTCACATCAGTCTTCCCACCGGATTGAAATGGTTGACATATTGAAAGAATAAACTATAATAGCAATTCGCCAATCGACATTGTTGTCGATAGCATACATTAGTGGATCTGCATGAGCACAACACTAACTCATCGCAAGATACAGTGGCCGTACTACATGATGCATCCCCATAAATAAAGTATCGTTTTGTTATATTTACATTGCTTGTTTAGTCGCTTAGTGACATACATAAGTAGTGGTTAAGGAGCAATGTATTTACTACAAAATAGTACCGTCGCAGTGATATTTGAAAACAAAAATAACGCATTAAGAGCAAAAAATATTTTATGATTTGTTGTTTTTCATGATTTTAAAGATAGTAAAATACTTGTTCTTACATATGGTAAGTGATTCCATGATCCACAAAAATCGGCATTTTGATATTGTTTCACGATTACGGTTGAAAGTATACTAATACTAATACGCAGATCGCAGAGACGGCCGTTTGAACAGACCCTGAGCATTTTGATCATAGCACATGAGTAAAGAAACCGACCAGAGGGGAAGCTACATACAAACGGCTCGCGGCGAATACACCCATACATAGCGCAGCGATGCGTGCGTGAGCTCTCACCGACAGGTTCACCGACACTCCGTCGGGGTACAAACCGGTTTGCGCCGGCTCAGTCAGAGTATCCATGAAAGGGCTGTTAGCTTGCTACATATATATTTATCTATGGCTGTTAGTCGTGCGCATTTAAATAAATAGACCAACAATATTTCGAAATTTTATACATCAATTAATTTATTAAGTTTTTTTGCAATTATAAAATAATCAGATTTAAGTATTTTAATTAAAATAATTAAGAATTAAGTTATTATAAATTTATATAGGTAAATAATAAGTGTTTTGTATAAGCAAAAATGTCTAATAGTTGTACAGTATACATGAATAATTCTAGAGAAAATAACGATATTTCCTTTTTTTGTACCCGAGAGATCAAGTGAACTAAGTATCTTTTTACGTATTATATACAATAAAACTAGGTAATAACATTGGTAGGTAAGTGAGAATGTGTTAGACAGGTACGTCGCCGAGTGATGAAGTCGGTCTCACATACTTGAAACGTTAGTCAGTTTAACCTTGATAGTGCTGCAGATGGCAGGATATCCTACGTAATAAGGCTAAATGTGTGACTTTATCCACCCACTTTAGTATAGAGGTAGGTTGCTTCCTGGGGAAGGATATAAGCTACTTTTTGCGAGACGCGACCCCAAGGGTAAATACCACTGCATTATGGTTGGAATACAATCGCCAGACATTGGTGGGGGTGGTGGGATTGGTGTTGGTGGAAGTGGTGCTGGTGTTGGTGGATAGTGTAGCTGATGGTGTCAGTAGTGGTGGAGATGGTAGTATCGTAGGTAGTGGTAGTAGGCAGTGGACCAACAGTGGCTCAATCACCACCACCATTTTTCGTTAAATTTTTCACATGCATTATGTGACAACACTATCAGAATAGGTATACAATTTCGACGTTGTTAAGAAGCTTCCCCTCTGGTCCTTACTCTTTACTCTGAGATCATAGCGTGCGGACACAGACACGCCCCCTTGCCACTTCTCCTCTCTCCTCTATTTAATATTTCTATGGTTATATTGAAATATACGACCAAATATACAAAGACTGATCAGAATAAGTAATAGGCGAATGGTGAAGAAAAAATAATTAAAAAAAATCTCAAACGTTCTGTCCTTTTTATCATTTAAATTCAGAATGCATGGTAAAGCATTATTTTAACTGATTGTCATTCATAAATATCTAATGCCTAATTTTTTACTACGCCCGCACACATTCGTAAGGGAATCACAGAATAAATAATATGACTCGGTCGGTAAAAACGTTGTGAATTGAATCGCACACAGAGGAGCGCGCGTACGCGTAGTTGTTACCCATAAATCACATTCAATTTGGTATAATTTCAAATAAAAGTAAAAGTCTTATTTACTCGTATTTTCAAAAACTGCAATAACGGTATATATTATTTATATATTTGAATTTAAATATAAAATTTGGATACTCTTTAAAAATTACCCTGTAATGTAGACAGACACGGACTCTAAAATGTAGAGACAGGAAAATCTTTAGAATATAATTTATTGTTTTAATATTAAATGTAGGTTTACAACAAAAAGCTTTAGAGTACAACTAATTTATTCAGTTAACTATTCACTTAAATGAAATAGGTTAGCAGAAAAAAACATCTACGCTTTATCAATGGCAGAAGAAAGTACGAAGACATCCAAGGAAGAACTTTTACATTACACAATGTATTTATAGGGTTATAAACAATAAAGCCTGTGTAGTGGCGGGTAAGAATACCCACTATGCCATATCTTCCCGTGAATGTCGTAAGAGGCGACAGAGGGAAACTGAGACAGAAGATGGGCAGCAGCATCTTTCTGATAACAGCAAATTACAATAAAAAAACTGCAGTTGCCCACCCGCTCGCCAAGCGTGGCAATTATGGCAATAAAACCCCCATGACGAGAGTTACAAAAAGACGGCTCTCAGTCCCCCGCGGCCCCGCTATTCCTGGCTACAGTGGCGACCATGGTAATGGCGGGGCAGGGGGTGCAAAGAATCTCCCGTGGAGGTACGGTTGCCACCTTAGACGACTCGACCTGGCAACATACAACGCACGCACCCTGAGGACTGCCAAGAAGATCCTCGAGCTGGAAGAAGAGATAGACAAGTTGCGCTGGGATATTATAAGATTATCTGAGGTCCGAAGAGAGAGGGAGGACACGGTAATCCTCGAATCCGGCAACTTTTTCTATCACCGGGAGGGCGACCATCTGTCCCAAGGAGGTGTCTGATTTATCGTCCACAAGTCTCTCGTTAACAACGTAGTAAATATTGTAAATGTGTCGATTAGGGTTGCGTACCTTATACTCAGAATCACCAAACGGTATTCGTTGAAGGTCATATAGGTTTACGCACCAACCTCGGCACATCCCGTTGAGTAGATGGAGGAAATGTATGAGGATACTCGTATCTTCAAAGCCATGCATTCCTCCAAAACCCACTATACGATGTTAATGAGAAACTTCAAAGCAAAACTATTCACAAGAAAGAACAGTGAGCTGAAGGTAAGGAAATTTTTAATAGGCAACGGAACGCAATGGGCCAGCAGCTGGCCGACTGCAGAGAGGTGTAGGACAGGGTGATGTTATATTCCCGAAAACCTTCACCGCTGCATTGGAAGACGTTTTCAAGCTTTTGGACTGAAAAAGATATCGTATTAACGTCACTGACGAGTACATCACTCACCTTTGATTTGCCGACGTTATAAGTAGTCCTTATGGCAGAATCGCTTGAGGACCTAAGCACTATATGCTCAATAGTGTCTCCCAACGAATAGGTCTTAAGATGAACATGGACAAAACAAAAGTCATGTTTAATGTCCATGTTACCGTACCGTAATACCGTAGTTGTTGGGAGCACTAAACTTGAAGTTGTTGACGAGTATGCTTACCTGGGACAAATAGTCCGACTAGGTAAGTCCAACTTCAACCGAGAGGTCAATCGACGGATTCAACTCGGCTGGGCTGCGTTTGGGAAATTATGACACATCTCGTCAGGCATACCTCAAAACAAGATTGTTCAACCAGTGCGTGTTGCCAGTGATGACCTATGAATCTGAGACGTGTTCCTTCACTGCTGGCTGTACGAGAAAGCTCAAGGTCGCTCAGTGAGCTCACTCAGGGTTTCTCTGCGTGATAGACTTAAAAACGTACATAGCCCAACGGATTAGTAAGCTAACGTGACAATGGGCCGCTAGCTCGAAGAACCGACAACCGATAGGGAAGAAAGGTTCTCGAGTGGCAGCCTCGTACCGGCAGTTGAAGTGTAGGGCGCCCCCCACTAGACGACCTGGTAAGACATGCAGGAAGTCAATGGATGCAGGTGGCTCGGGACCGTGCTTTGGAATTCCTTGGGGGAGGCCTATGTTCAGCAGTGGACTTGTGATGGGCTGTAATGATGATGAAAGAATAAAGCACATCAATGTAAAAAGTAGATCATCCCCCTTTTAATATATCAATGATCATACCAACAATATATAATTATAATTAAAACAGATCACAATATTTAAAAGAAATAGTATATTTTAATACAAATACATAGATAATCCTATACGCGCTTCACGTGTAAGCTGTTTGTCTACCTAGCGTATAGATAATACTCTAATAACTGAAAACAAAGAGTATATTATTATAATCATAACTCTCAAATATATAAATAATAATAATAATCTATGATTAGTACGTTACCAACGAACTCAAAACTATATTATTCGACTGACTTATAGACGCCGATCATGACGTTAAGGACGAAATAGTTGTATCTATTTTCAATATTAAAATGTAATAATTCAAGATCACTCGCATTCAAAATAACCAACTCTCAGAATAGCTAGCTCAATATGGGTAAACCAAAATATGATCCGCCTACACCGTCATTCCCATACAAAATACCCAGGAGATATAACATGTTAAGCGTTCCAAAGCGGTATGTTGTAGACACCGGAGAAGGATTACCAACGCTGTCGACCACAGGGGTGAGAATATCTGCACTGAAGGCTCATATATCTGACAGGGTTAATGACGCATCATGGCCATATATACGGTAAGTACTGAACAGGTTCCAAATATTTATTTATTTTATTTAACTTCATATACACTGGAATGTATATAGGCGGACTTAATGCCTGTCCTATTCTACCACGTCTACCTTAGAGTAGTGCAAAGATAAAAGAGCTAGGTGTAAAAACAATTATCTTCAGGAAGTCTATATACAAACCAATACAAACGTATAACTGAACACATATTAGCATAATGGACATATATATATACACATATATATTTCTACGTAACATAGGACGCAAGCTGCAGAAGAAATGTATCGGCTCGCTCAGGATAGCACGTTCGCAAATCACAGATATTTTACGCAAATTATCAATGTAAAATAGCAGCTTATGCAGCTGTATACATTTTTTTACATCTTCATTTTGATTCTTAATCATGAATAATATGAAGATGTCTATAGGCATAATATGCCTAAATATATTATATTTACCATCAGGTGGACTATTAGCTTGTTTGTCATCCTTCTTAATTACTACATGTCATCATAGAAACGTGACATTAACGATATGCACAAATACATTAGTTTTCAGCACCCAAAAGGCACCCGGCTCTTAGCAGTATTGCTACAGCCACAGCGCTGTTATTCTGTCGGTGTTTTCTATTACCGAACAGCTGTTGGACATATTTCTGTTACCATAAAAAAAGGAGTACATTTCGTTTTAACGTCAGACGTAAACACACCAGACCGGTAACGAGCAGAATGATCAAAAGTGCGCGACGTCTGGTGTTGCGGTCGTCAATACCGTCTGCCAAGCGCAACGGTTAAGACAAACTTCTAGTTTATAAAAAGCATTCTGTGAGACAAACCCTCCAACAACGGTAGAGGCCCATGTCCAGCAGTGGTCACTGCTAATATAGTTGTAGTACATTACTTTCGCCTATATTATATATCTAATAATTTGTCAGCGCTCAACGATGAAACAATTGAGCAGCGTATTTTCGTCCAACTTGATTTATTCTACAAATATTGAGATTTCGAAAACTTATTTTTACCGCAATAAAATATACGTTATAGCCCATTATTACTCAGGGATGAGTGAAGCTTACTATTAGCACAGAATAAATAATAGTAAAAGAATATTTAGAACTCGTTTTAGTAGTTTCAAATATTATCATTCACAATAATATATGTAATTTTAAAATTTCCTTTATATAAGATAGATACCCTATAAAGCTATAATATTAAACGAGTAATATTTCCGTTCCACCACTATCACAGCGACTAGAACACGGCGCAGTACTCTTTAGAGCCCTAGAGAATTGCCCGGATAGCTCAAGAGCTGAGTACGACCTCAAAGCAACACTGATGTGAGATGTCGTGAATCGCCGTTGTTACCTTTTTTCGTACTATTATTTATTCTGTGCTTCAACGATTACGAACATGTGATGTCGTGGAGGAGCGTAATAAGTAAGGCGTCGAGTTAGCGCGTACGATATTCCTGCGCATGGAAAAGTTTTGGAGAACTCCAGCTTCACTCGCTCAACGAGCCTTGGACTACCTACCGCCATCGATGTTGCGGTATTGTGGAAACTGTTTCTGTAGGTAGTCCTCGCAAAGAGCGACAAAATGAACATCGTGGGATTGTAGCCAGATTTTCGACGTAGAAAAGTAGCCTAAATATTTATTGTAAATTAAAAGTATGTTGTAAATTTTAAAGAGATCGAGTTTTTTTTACTTATAGTGTCAATAAATTTCACCCTTTTTCCCATTTTTTTTAATGTTTCTTTCGAACAGGTTTCCGTAAAGGTTTGTTTTAAAGTGACAAACTTTTCAAATTGTATTGTTTTGTGACATTCAAAGTGTACCCGGACACAAAGTGGGAACACTTTTTGAACCCCTTCTGGGCTGTCGTCTAACGGTTTTAAATTTAGGATAAATCCTGAGAAGTCCGGACGGATGGCAGCCCTACCTCTAAAGTTATCGCTGTGATCGAAATTGGCTTGGACTCATTTTGGTGTAACCTTTTTCTTAAAATTCTTTCAGACGGCTACTACACACAAAACGTGCTTACAAAAATCGTTTTAGTGCCGAGCGTTTGGAACGCTTGGACCGTATGATAGAAGCCGCGAATGCAACAATGTATTCAAAGCTTGCTAACTGCGTTCTCGACTTGAAGAAACACGATAATAAAGACGTAAAGAAAAAGAGAGGTTGGACAGAGAGTGAGTGGAAGAAACATATGGATTATATCGGTCAGATCGCCGGCCCTAAAAAAGATTTTAGACCGCCGCCATTAAAGGTAACTTATTAATTAGAGAATTGCCATGTTGGCCATTATCTTTTAGGGTTATATCAGACAGGAAGCGGTCACGCGTTCTAGCGTACCGCATTCGCGTTCTGGGTTCGAGGGTTCAGTTGCTCACGAATCCCGCTGTTGGACGGTCTACGCGGTGCCACTACAGTCACCATGTTTTTATAGTTCTTCATCGGAAGACGAATTATTGATATTGTGGACATTAGCAGCATCAAAACGGAAAAGGAAATATTGGGTGCGCCCAGTAAATTAGAATGGAGAACAAGATGGATAATTTCATAGACTGTTTTGCAAATAGCTTACTGATGAAGAAATTCTTTATAATTCATTTTCGGTCCCCATTTCAATTTCAAGACAGACTTAAAGAAAAGGTACGACGTATAATGGCCACAAGAACATTGCCGCGTTTTACCATGTGGTGGCAGCATACTAGAATGTGTCTACCTCATGTCATCCTCGTGGGGAGTCATAATAGACTTTTGTATATATAATATGTCAGAAAGATCTTATTGCCTCCGTTTGATGACATTATTAACATCTCCTAAATGTCATATAAAGTTAAAAGTTACAGCCTATATACGTCCCACTGCTGGGCACAGCCTCCTCTTATTTCTAAGTGGGTTTTAGGGCAAGGAAATGTCCGCTGCGCTGTGCTGCCTCAATGCGTGTTGGCAAACTTCACGTCTTCGAAATATGTTTTTTTCTTATTTCTCAAACATGCAGGTTTACTCACGATGATGCTTCACTGCCGAGCACGTGTCATATGGAATACAAAAAATTTAAACTAGCGATAAAATTAGTCTTAAACGCAATGATTTCTTATATTTACGCGAACACTACACATTTTTAAATAAAACTAATTTTACGGATTTTATCGCGTATATTAACTTATTTTTAACTTATTTTTATATTCCCGACGTTTCGGGTGCTTTCCAGCACCCGTGGTCACGCACTTTGCAGTCCCCCGTGACCACGGGTGCTGGAAAGCACCCGAAACGTCGGGAATATAAAAATAAGTTAAAAATAAGTTAATATACGCGATAAAATCCGTAAAATTAGTTTTATTTAAAAATAGTCTTAAACGCATGCAAATAACCCCCTTAACTCGATAAAAGCAGATTTTCGATATTATAGACAGACATTTAATATGTACTGATATGGTACATTCCCTTTTAATTTTAATTTATTTATAAGCATTAGTATAACATTGCGCATATACCTAAACCACAGAGAGGGCCACGGAAACCAATTGAAGCTCTATTGCCTCGTCTCAATGAAATTAGCGTCCCACCACAATTCAAGGTGTACAAAAGGTTATCTCAAGAATCAAACTATAGAGATCCCGTTAAGGTAAGTAATGCAATAAATACAAAATACATCATAAACCATCAAAATTTTGATTGCGTAGGTACTTCTCTATTACCAATTCTAGATGAGGTATCAGCAGTACATTTTTGCTAAGAAAGTAGTAGGTAGTAGAACGGTTGTTATATTAATAGAACAATAATATTTATAATTCATGTAACTGTTTTGAGACAAATAAACATTTTCATTTTCATTTTCAGTAGGTACATATAGTTATTTCTATCGGTACTTACAATCATGAACATGAACGACAGTCTCCATCCATTATCCATTACGGCCTATAAAAGTCCACTGCTGAACATGGGTCTCCCTCATAGATTGTGTCATGGGGGGTTTTGCCACGCATTCACGCATGGAAAGCGGGCTGGCAACCGCAGTTTTTTTTATTATTTGGTATTGTTATCAGCAAGATGCTGCTGCCCATCTCCTGTTTTATTTTCCCTCTATCGCCTCTTACGACATCCACGGGACGATATGGGGTAGTGGATATTCTTACACCGCCACTACACAGTTTCAATGAGTAAGAAACCATTACGTGATGACGACCGTGTACTTAAACGTGTCGCTTGTCGTAGGATCTGCATACAAATCCTGGGATTTGTTTAAAAAAATATTTTTAAGTCTGTATATATTGTAATTTAGTCTCTATAAGTGAAACGTATGAGTATAATAGACCTCGAAGTCATCCACCGAGCTATGAAGATGGTCTCGGTCGGTGTTTCTCTGCGTGATTAAATGCGTAACGAAGATAACCGCAGAAAAACAGCATTAATTGTCATAGCTCAGCAGATCAGTAGGTTGAAGTAACAATAGACCAGCTAAATAGCTCGAACATCCGCTAACCTTTGGTGAAGAAACGTTATCGAGTGGTAGCATCCTAGATGGAGTGACGACGATGAGTCTATGGAAGTAGGTGACTCAGGACTGTGCTTTGTGGCAATCTATGGGGGAGGGCTATGTTCATGTGCATCGTGGATGATATGCTTAAAGATATATTAGACACTGATTTCTAATTTATCGCAGCATTAAATCAGATACGGGCTTATAAAGATAATTGAAGGCATTATGATTATCAATTTGCATGGCTATTGCAGCAAGCTTGCCGACGTTCCGTGGTAGATGTTTATAGTAGTGATCTACGTTTAGGAAAGGAGTGTTTTATAGACTGCTGCTGACGGCATAGGTACCAGAATGGAGAAGTCTGCACGTTAAGAATTTAAGTGATTCTTCTTCTACTTCGAGTGCCTCTCCGACTAGCAAAGGTTGGCCAGTTAGCTTTGAATACTCCTTCTTGTTCTTCACGAGGCGAAAGAGCTTGGCAGCACTCTCGATTTCCAGCCAATACTTTTTTCTGCGACTAACAGCTCTCCTTCCGCCAACCTTTCCCATCATAATGAGTTGCAAAAGTTCATATCTTTCATGCCTGCTTAGGCACATGTACGAGATATGCAACTTTTCTTTTCTTGACAGTCTCCAAAAGCTGCCGTTTCTGGTTGACGCATCCCAGAACTTCTACGGTCGAGATCTTTTGAGTCCAACTAATGGCCAACATACGTCTATATGCCCACATCTCGAAAGCTTCTACACGTTTCATGAGGTCTTCTTTAATTGTCCACGCCTCACATCTGTAAAGAAGTATAGGCCAGATGTAGCAATGTAGGAGTCGTATACGCACAGCACTGCGATTGCAGAGTACTTTTTTTACGTGCAGAAGGCACTTCGAGCTGTTTCTATGCAAGTCTTTACCTCATATTCACAGCTCCGGGTGTCATTAAGCCATATCCCTAGATACTTGTACTTGAGCACCCTCTCAATTTTTTGGGCCGCTACAATGATCTTCATTTTTGATGTGTTCATCTGCAAACCAGCGTTTTCACTGCACTCATTAACACGGGTCATAATCAATTGTAAATCTTCAAGAGATGAGGACTGTATCGTCAGTGTATATGACGTTGTTATTATACCGGCCATTTATTTTGACTCCACATTCTAGGTCTTCAATTTCTTCTGCTATTATTTTTTCCGAGTACAAATTAAATAGCGTGGGTGATAATTATACAGCCCTGTCGAACTCCTCTCTTTATTTCGACCTCCTCTCTCGGTCTCCTCATCGTCAACTCGTACAGTAGCCTTCTGGTTCCAATACAGATTCTGGATAATACGTATATCTTTGTCATCAAAGCCGATATCATGTAATATTGCAATTAGGCGGTCGTGCAGTACTCTCCCGAAGGCTTTTTCGTAATCGATGGATCAAAGGAAAACGTCTTTTGCATGTCTCTGCATTTTTGTACCAGTACTCTATCGAACTCTTGTTCGATAGCCAAATTAGCTGTCTGCGAGTTGTTCGTCACACTTAGCTCTTATTCGCACCCTAGATGACAGTTAGAAATAGTTTCAATACTTGGCTCATAAGGCGTGCGAAGAATTTCGATAATAGTTCGAAACTCTTCGCACCTTCTTGCGTTGGTCTTCTTAAGAAGCGTAACAAAAGTTGCGGTTAGCTAGTCATTGGGTAAGTGACCAGAGTCGTATACCAAATTAAAAAATTTACCCAGGAAGTAAATATTTTCTTCTTTAATAAGTTTAAGTACTTTATGCCCTACCTACCCTATGACAAGCTACTACAAGCCCTACCAACCTTATGCAGGTTAAATGCATCATGTTTAGCATAAAGGTCCTGAAAGATCAAGGAAATTTTGCGGCTGGGATTAATCCGAACAATTTCTCAGAACCCTCTCCGTGGTAAATGCGAAAGAAAATGCAAAGGGATGCAACATCTCTTCGCATCGCCAGTGAATTGAACCGATCGGAAAGGACTCGATCAAGTGGAAGGAGCTGGTACTGGGGAGCCCCAGTCCAGAGATGGGAACAGTATTCCATGTGAGGCCGAACCTGCGCCTTGTAGTTGCAGGCGGTGTGTGCCGGCATGAAATACTGTCTCGCTCTGCTGAGCACGCCAAGCTTTTGACCACAAAACTGCACGTCACTCGATATGTCGACGCCGAGGATTCCGATACTGGCTGAGGCAACAAGGGGAGTGCCTTGAAACTGAGAAGATACGACAAAGGGGTTGTTTTTAGCGGTAAACGCGCAAACTTGTGTCTTCTGGGGATTAAAGTGGACTAGATTTAGTCGCCTTCAATCCGAGACATTGTTCAGCAAAGACTAGACTTCAGACACAAGTTTGTTCCGGTACTCGGCGATGTTTTCCCGAGAAATATTGGCCTCTCGAGCATAACGAACTTCACGCCGAATTTTCTTATCAATCTCAGTATACTTGCTTTTCTCAGAATTCTTGTAGATTCTCCTTTCTTCCATAAGATTATATATTTTTCTGTCATCCAACTCTGCTTAGGAAGATACACTGGAAAAGAGATCCAATCTCTTTTCCAGTGTATCTTATTGATGTTTAATATTTTGTTCTTCATTGAACACCACCGTACGCATTGTCCCAGGTTTCTTATCTGCTGCCCACTCATTTATTTCTTTCGCCACTTCATATTGGATGTTAAGCACTTTTCACATCTGTTGCGGGGTACTGTGTAATTGATTATTTTATTTTATTGTAATGATGTGTTTGTAGATTAGTAAAAATATCTTGTTTTTTTTTAATTCAACGACAAAGTTATCGTATTTTAGCGCGAATTGAAAAGGGAACATATATTTACGCACGGTTATCCTGATGGATGGAATGATAAAATAGTCAGTACCTATGCCTCTGGGGTGACAACGCATTCGTAGTCTTTATTTAAAGAAAAGTAAAGGTGTACATTTACTGCAGTTGCCATTCACTATCAAGTAGACTGTCAGCTCGTTTATCACTTAATTGTTATTATCTACGAGTATCGGGATTGCGTCATTGGTTAGTTGACATAAGTCCAGAAATTAGCAACCCGGAGTCAGAAAGTTGCAGGTGTTTCTGCTTCGGAAATCACGTAAAGCCGTTGATCCTGCGCCTGATATTTCTCCGGTCAAGCTAGTTTAGATATATGGGGACTCCATTGAAGCTTCGCGTCCATTGTTACTCCTAAGAAGAATCAAATCAACGTTAAGAAAGTACTCCACATCGTCCCGTGGGTGTCGTAAGAGGCAACGGAGGGAAACAAGCCAGCAGATGCAACGTCTCCCTAATACAATTGGATAAAAACTGCGGTAAATATGGCAAATATCCCCTAACAAGATAAGGGGAAGTCCTTGTTTAGCAACGGGTTGTAGTGAATGAATCAAAGCATTGTAACGTCTCTATAAAGCTCTTTATGTTATATTTAAATTTCAACAATATTATACAATTTAAAATGCATAAAATTAAACAACAAATATTTAAATGGCAGCAATTGCCATATGTTCAATTATCTTTAAATTATTACGTGAAGGGAAATCTCTGTACCCATTTTTAAGCATATTGCGCGCACGGAATAGTGTCATATTAGGCATAGTTATGTGGAGGAGTTCAGAGTTAAAATTTATGTGTGTGTTACAAATACACTAAGGGCTTCAATCGTATGATAAAAGCAATCCATCGTATAAATTATAACCTGGTTGAACATAAAAGTGAAACAGTTGAACTATTTTATTCATACAACTGTTATTTTAACACTTTCACTGTCCGGTTTCCAGACACCATAGTAAGACAATAGCAGTGCCCTATATGTAGTGCACGGGACAGCGAAAGGGTTAACTTATGTTGTATTTTATCCTATATATAAATTTAACCTGAGGATTGAAAAACCATCCGTAAATGAAATAAAATAGAAAGTTTATAATGTTATCACATTAAATAAGTCTATCTTTTGTTTACGTATATACTGCCAATGTCAAACACATAATAGTCTAAAGTCAAACAGTTGCACAGGGTAGAGATTGTTACCAAAGAATTTTAAAATATTGTCAACAAATAACTACTACTTAATTTTGTGCGATTTCAAGTATTCTTTTTTATAGTCTGTAGGTGTATGTCAAGACAAAAAAGTGTTTATTATATATTTTATATGTAATATCTGTGTTTAAATGTGCACTTGAAAGGAAAATACAGCTTAAATACAGTAACTTAAAAATTTAATGAGTTACGGTCGAATTACGACCACTATCCACTAGTTAAATTAATATCTTATTTTATTTCTCAGGTACCACCAAACGCATTAAAGTATGTGATAACAGACAGAGTGAAAAAGCTAGCTATTCCGAGAGTTATTCCGCAGCCCATTACTTTTGATTGAAGAACCAACCACCAAAAAAATTGATTGAATACATAAACTATTTCATTCCTAAGCTGTTTTTTTTTTGTTTAAAAAGTTTAGCAACATATAAAACAAACATATTGAAATAAAACATTTGTCAACATTTATATATATTATTTTATTTACAATGGTAAAATTTTCAATGTCATATTAACAAAATATGAAAAACAATACTGCAACGTATAAACAATACGGGCGTCAATTCTGAACTATGATTACAGATCACAATTTCTAAATAAATTAAAATAAATTACACTTATAATAAGACTGAGTTTGATTTTTACTACATTGTTTCATTACTAATCCTCCTGTTTACACGAGGGAATGGATGACAGCATGGGTGAAATCTAAGGTTGTTGATTGACCGCCAAGATCCTTGGTCCTCACTTTGCCGTCCTTCAGTACTCTGCGAAGAATGATCGTATTATAATTCGTACATTTTTAGTGTAAGGTATAGGCTTCATTTACTATCTTTGAGTCCATTAGAGCTCAAATCTACTGTTTGCGTGTGTAAGAGAGAGAGAGAGAGAGAAAAAAAGAGCGTGTGTTATCGCAAACAGGTGCATCTGCACATTTACATGTGGTAGAGCCACACTGCAGGTTTAATATGGTTGTAGCACGAATGGGTCTGCTCTACCGGGGTACACACACTCACAGAATACCATCGTAAAATAGCAGCTTAATGCTGATGTGTTTCGAATGGTGAGTGTAGAGAACCGGAGACTCTTTTTACTGAATACGAGGTATTCCAGCTTTGTCCTCAGAAATAATAACGCAAATGTATTTTGATTCTTAATCGAGGATAAATGTAGATGTCTATGGGCCACAGCATCCACTTACCATTAGCTGGACTGTATGGTTGTTCTACACCCTTATTTTATTTAAAAAAATCGTACACTAGTGAACTTTTCATCAACAAATTGTGACGACAATCCTAAAAGCACCACAACTAGATCTAAGACTTACTTGTTGATAGCATTCTTGATCATCTTCGAGTACGAGTGCAAGTTAACGTGCGCCAACAAATTGGCCGAGCACAGCAACATGGCGGTCGGGTTGGCGATGTTCTTTCCAACTGCGCCGGAGAATATATGACGTGCGCCCTGTAATTGAAAGTCAATAGTCAACAATCGGTAAACTGCGGTCAGAGTTAACTACAGCACTGATTATTGTGTCACAAGTGTATGCGGAAACACACAGCCACTTAAATACTAACATTGAACTCAACTTCTACACTTTAAGGCCGAAAATGCATTTTTTGAAGTGAAAACTTTTTGAACTAAAAAGAGATAAATATACATCTATCTATAGAATTTAGCCAGCGAGGGGATGATATAGATTTTTATATTAAATTGGTCCTGTTAGGCCAACTAGCGTCTATTTTACGTACCACCTTGAGAGAATCAATTTTTGTTCGATAAAATGACTTTACCTATAGAATGAAGTAGATGGCGCTATTACAAAGCAATTTTACTAGAAAGCAAATATTCCTTTGATTTATTACACTTAAATTTAGGCTCTACATTTATAAAAATAAGGATTATAACATTTATTTGATATAAAATTAAAGTTTTAACTTATATTTTTGCCACACTTGTGGTTGAAAATTATCATATTAGATAAATCATTTGCCGTGAAATATTTATATTTAATTTCATTTACAACTTTCGCTTCTTCCGCGCACACATGTCTTTTTATTTCTAAAATAGTTACCCCACTAGCATTTTCTCATACACCGTGGAGGCAGTTTACAAACATAAATTGCACAGGGACAAAATCCAGACTCATTGTGTATAGGATTATTTGTAGGTAGTGCGGATTTCGAACCCGCGGCGATAGGAAATCAACTAACTGAATAATGCGGAAAAAATATAATAGTAGAGGATCCGGCTTAAAAAAAATACCCCCTCATTCTTTTCCTTGATGAAATAATTAATTGTATAATAAAATATATAAATAAATACAAACCGGGTTGATTGACAGCCGATGTTTTGGAAGGGCATATTGAATAAAAAATGATTGTAACTAGTAAAAGAAATTAATTAAATAATTTTTAAATAAAAATAGCCTTGTCAAAACATAGGCTGTCAATCACCCCAGTTTGTATTTATTTATATATTTTATTATAAAAAAACTTATTTCATCTAGGAATAGAATGAGGGGGTATTTTTGTAAACCGGATCTTAGACTATAATGATCAATGCATACATATAAATATGCAGTATTTTTTTATTTAAAAATATTAAATGTAACATCTTAAAATAAGGGTACCTAGGGCGGACTTAATGCCATTTGGAATTTTCTGCCAATTAACCCTGGGTGCCATAGACAATTGTTGGCAGGTGCGAAACATATTAGGTATGTACTTCATAAAGTTGACATATAAACTAGCCTCACCTGTTCAAATACAGCGCATTCAGCACTGTAGGAAGCGCCGGCCACAACACCGGCTCCACCGACCAAGCCGCTGGCGAGGTTGTCCACAATGTTTCCGTACAGGTTGGGCGTCACCATCACATCGAACTGGTTGGGGTTGGATACCATCTGCATCGTGCAGTTGTCCACAATCATCTTCTCGAACTGGATGCGCGGATACAGTTTTGCTATCTGTATCATATTAGTGCCATGTTAAAATACCACAAATTATCAAATAATATTTAAAATAGGATTATTGTTTTACAATGTGTAAGCAGAACAATCTGGGAAGGTTTTAGGGTATGGAATTGTTCGCCGCGCTGCCCCAATACGTGTCGGCGAACTTCACACGTCTTCGAAATTTTTTTCTGATTTCTCAGACTTGCATGTTTCCTCACGATGTTTTCCTTCACCGCCGAGCACGAGGTGAGCAACACACATGTGGCGTCACAATTTTGTAAATAAATGATTAATCATGCAAATGACAATGTATACCTTGTATGTATTTATATAAAACTAAATTGGCGGATTTATGTATCTATTATGGACCAAGTGATTAATAGGCTATTATTCATAATGCCCGGGCAATATGAATAATGCCAAATATGAATAGGCAATGTGATAAAAACTATTGCAATAATTAAATTGATTTACTAATAAATCCCGTTACTTCTGGGCAGAGTAATAAAAATATAGATTAGGTTAGTTTTTTTTGATGTCGCATATTTAAACACAATGGGAATAGTTTTTCATCAAAGGTATGTTTTTTTTATAACATAAAATGAAGTATACTCTATTGCTGCTATTTAATACTGCAAAGTGGTTTTCCCTTTGTTCACATTTTTAAACTTGTTTGTTTCAGACTTGGTACATTATTAATTTATTGTCTTAAAAGTGAATAACATAGTAAGGTTAGGTTTGGTTTGGTTAGGTTATATCAAATTGCCCAACAATTGTGTAGCAATATTTATAATGATCAGACAATTAGATAAATAATGAAGCTTAAATCAGTATTAATTATGTAGCTGGATTTAATTTGTCATTATTCATATTGCCCGGGCATTATAAACAGTGCCCTGATTAATCACTTGGTTCATAACATATCCTCCATTTACGACTTTTTGTTTTAGGATAGGTGACAAACGAACACACAGTCCACCTGATGGTAAGTGGTTGCTGCGGCTCATAGACATCTACATTTATCCTCAATAAAGAATTAAAATACAGATGCGTCGTCACCCGTGAGGACTAAGATGGAATTCCTCTTTTCCAGTAAAATGGGTCTCCCGTTCTCTACAGTCACCATATGAAACACAACAGCTGCTATTTTACGCTGGTATTCTGTGAGAGCGTGGTCCTTCCCCGGTCGTGCCAACCCATTCGTGCTACAACTATACTACTAACATAGCTGCAGCATGGCTCTACCACATATATATCTATACATATAGATTAGTGATATATCACTCTTGTTGTGTGAAACACTCCTAGTAAACTTGTGCTCAAATGGAGTGATTAACGGAAGTAATAGTATATATATATAACTTAATATTGATGCAAGTATTCATTTTAATTGTGGTTGCTGATCCACCTGAAAATCGTGAGTACTATGGCATATATCCCGCTTATGAGAAATCTACGGGGAGATCTATGTTCAGCAGTAAATTTAAAGCAGTTATGACTTCATTTTAACAAAAATAATGTTCTATTTATCAACAAAATATAGTCACAATATTTATTGAAAAGGTGTGCTTTTGCAAACTGTATGTCTTTATATGGAAAATATGATATATAACATACATGTTAATTTTAGCCAGTGATCAAAAGCATGTAAATATTTAAACGCCATAAAGTTAAAACCTCTTCACAGCTGCGCAAGAAGAGACCATCTCCCAGCTTCATGATATTAGCCTTGTGCACGGCGGTGACCTTCTTACGGCCCATCTTAACTGCATAGTCGAATGCAAACTTCGCAATACGCTCCGACTTCGCTGCCGTGATAATTTTCAAGCATTCGACAACACCTGAAAGAGAAACAATAAAAAATTAAAATTTTTGTTTTGTGTGGACACATACATTATTACTTTTATGAACAGACATTGCAACAGAATATTGTGAATTACTACAATATACCGCTCTGCATGATTCTGCATGTGCATCGAAAAGTAATCTTTTATGTTTAAAAAGTATAGTAAATATGTACCGTGTTTGTACAATTATTTATTCTGCATTAATGCCACATTTCTAATATTAAATGCCTCAATAAACTTAAACAATGTGGGGCTTAAATTAAAAAAAAAATTATAAAAATAAACAAAATATTGTTGCGCGCCACTATTAATGTCTTGTACATGGCAACACTACTTACTACTAGCGCCCTCTAGTATCGAGTAGCAGAACTAGGAGAGTCAAGATCCTTCTATAAATATCGGGACCGATATGTACTCGAACATTTTAGATGTTTTTATAGTAGAAGGTTCTGGAAACTACCTGAGGCTCTATATAAGGCCGGTATAGACCACGACCGGGTCAGTGTTGAATTGGCGATACAAGCGAATAATTCGAAGCGAAATAACTGCGAACTAAAGTGATCAGTAGTACAATTGTGTTTTATTATTAGTGTGGTTTTAAATTGTAACTGGTGTTCTGTAATTAAAGTGTCAATTTTGGTAATTCACTCAGCAGTTTTTAATTGTCTCGAACCCCAAGCTTGTAACAATATGTTAGTTGTTACTTAATAATAGTAACATATAAATAATGATAAGAAAAACACTTTAATAAGCTACTAAAAATAAAAAGCAAATATAATATGCATGTACAGATGTGTGTGATACAATAAAAAAAATATTAAAACAGTGGTTTTTGCTTCCAATATATTTAATTTTATTACAGATTCTTTATATAGTTAGTCAACTTTAAGAGCAATTGCAAAATGTTTTTTTTTTAAACAACTCACAATATGTGTTCTGTTGAATGAAAACTTTAATCAAAGAAGGCCAGGATGGCAGTTTACAGCTTGTGAAGCTAGTTCACAATAGTGGACACACTGCTACTTAGAAAATTTCATTGGTTTGACTAATGTCAAAATAACCATCTTAAAATTGCTATAAAATATTGATACTACTTAGAAATATCTTTCACAATTGATTTTACAAGTCAAAGCATATGATGTACTTTAAACACAGCACACAGTTTAACAATAAAAAGGAACAAACCTGGCACTGATTCATGTTCCAAAGCAGAATATTCTCCCTCAGTCTGCTCTCGTATAATGATGCAGTCGACATCATTGTGACGACACTTGACATTCGGCAGCGATTTCACGTGGACGACATTAGCGTACAGGTCCAGTGCATTACGCAGTTTCATGTTTAATGTTTGCAGTTCTCCCGTGTGTGAGAAGTCTGGCGTAGCCAAGATTCCCTAAGAAAAAAAAAAACCATATTATTAACAAAATTATCTTGTTAAATCATCTTGAAAATTGTACTGAACATAAGCTATTTTAGTAGGGAGCAATGACTTGAAATTTCAACTGTGGGGGTAACGTTTTTTTAAAAAAAAAAAAGAAAAAAAAAATTCAGACAATTTGTCAAATGCATCTCAACTGAAATGGATGTGCTCCATGTCAGTAGATTATCAGGATTTATTAAGAAGCTCATATTAATAGCACTTGAAATAAAACTGCATAACTTTTAAATAGGATTTTTCTGGTGTATGGGATTGCATCTTTCTACATAAGAAATCAGATGAACTCGCAAGCCTTTTGTTTAATAAAACTGCACGGCTAGCATGGGTTGGGGACAAAAAATAATGACAAGAGATAAAATTATCTTGTCCTTATGCCAAAGCACGGCAGTGGGGAGAAGTATATCCGCATTTGACATAACGAGTAGACATATATCCCCCATCCGCAGGAGCCAAATGAAAGATAAAATATTATGCTTTTTTGACATTTGAAAGGGACAATTTTATCCTAGTTCATTGGGCGTGGGTTTAAGTTTATATTCATACAAAAAAATCTATAAGTCGAAGTCTATCCTATTGCATGCCGTAAGCGCCTAAGCGCGTCGGTATGTTCTACTAGGGCCTAAAAGTTAAGATTCCAACGTTTTGTCGCATGAAATCGTATCTAGCAATCATATTGTACATAAAAGTAATATAAAAAGCACATTTTTATCTACTGTGGATATTATATCCACCGGTGTGCCTATGTCCGAAGGGTGGATAAAACTAAGCGAGGGGATAAAAATTTTCTCCTTTCCCCGGGGATAAAATTGTCAGTCGTCTGTCAATTGACAGACTAACTTACAGTCAACCTGATAGGAAGTCGTTCTTATAGGAAGTATTTCTTATAGTAAGTCATCTTCAACTTCAAACAAAGAAGGTCACTTCTGAGGACTAATATAGAATGCCTCTCAGCTATAACTTTCTGCTCACCAGAAGTCGCTAGTTGACACTGAGGTAAAGTTTTTTTGTTACACAGTGTCATTTAATTGAGAAGTTAGTTTTTAACAAAAGTTTAGCAGTTCAAAAGTATTATATTAATACACAAAACAATGCCTCAGTGGTTTGCTCCTTAATTCGTTGCACGTTTTTAACCATTTTTAAGTTTTTCTACTTTTATGATGATCTGTGATTTGGTTTACTTATTTTTAATCTTATTAATATAAAATGTAGCTTATAGTACAGAAAGAAAAATTTACTTTTACATTTTCCGAACAAATTAACTTCCCTGCTACGAAATCTGTCAAATATTATAACTCACTTTTAAGTGGCGCCGCCCTGGTGGCAGAAAAAGTCGTGGATGTCCTCATTATACTGGCTCTCCGTACCCTTCAGATCGGAATACAGCAGTGCAAGCACTGCTATTTGGTGGCAGAAAGAGTTAGGAAGGTGGTACCTACCAAAATTGACTCATGGGCAAAAACGGAATCCTACCACTTAATTGTACGATTATATGTTATGTAAATTTGTGAGGATCAAGTTTACTTTTTTTTTATAGGATAAGGGTGACAAAGGAGCACACAGTCCACCTGCTGATAAGTGATTGGTGTGGCCCATAGACATCTACATCTATCCTAGTTTGCGAATCAAAATGCAGATGCGTTGTCAGCCGTGGGGACTAAGATGGAATGCCTCTTTTCAAGTAAAAAGGGTCTCCGGTTCTCTACATTCACCATACACAACACAGCAGTATTAAGCTGCTATTTTACGCTGGTCTTCAGTGAGAGTGTGGTCCTTCCCCAGTCGAGCCGACCCATTCGTGCTACAACTATACTATTAATATAGCTGCAGCATGGCTCTACCACGTAATAATATAGGCTACATCAACACTTACCATCAGGTGGGATCGTAGATAAGTGCTGGCTTAGTAGAATATTAAAAAAAGAATAAAACAATATACTTAAGTATGCATTGAAAAAAGAATCAAAAGAAAATGAAAATAATACCTTGATGCAAATCTTATTTCTTGTAATGGAATTAACTACATCTTCAAGAGGCGCGCTCAAAGTTGGGTTAACCTCCGAGAAGAAAAATGATTCAAATTGCACTGGGATATTTGCTGCCTGTAAAATATTTAAATCTGATAAATATGTTGAAATAAAGGAAAGTATAGCTTAATTATATTCTCATGCTTATTGCCAGGTCATTATTGAACATAAGCCATTTTTGGACATAAAGTAGCGAGATATTATTGTGAATGTCACGGACGGCAGGTGAATTGCCCATTGTGGTACCAGACTTTCAGCACCTCAGAAGCCATTCGCTGCTAGTTGGATATTTTTAAGCATTTCTCTTTCATTCTTCTTAAAACACTAACATATGATAAGAGGAGACAACACTCTCTTGCACTGTGGTCACAAGATGACAAAAAGATTATCTAATACAACATTATGTTATAAAATTTACACACCTTAAAAACCTCTTGAACAGAATAAACCAGCTCTGGACCGACACCATCTCCGGGGATGAGGGTACATTTGATACGACCCTCTTTCGTTTGCTACATTATAAAAAAGTATTTTAAAATGTTTACTTATAAAAAAAAATACATTAAAAAAATAAACAAACTTTGTTTCAATTTATTATCATCATTATATAAGATCTAGTTGAAATTTAAATTTGACTGCTTTAAAGTATATTTTATTGTTATCCCATATCACATAAATAAAATAAAAAAACAAACAACAGAACAATTGATTAACTTCTCATTTTTAAAGTGGATTAAGAATAATAAATCAAATTGTAATATAAAGTAAAATAACTTCATCAATAATGAATCATAATAGCAAATTTTACACCATACCTATTGCCATCAGAGAAAATTAAATAGCTATATATTTTTTTATTTTCATTACTGGCAATACAGGAATTAAAACTGTAAGTGCTATAATGATTATATTATACAGACACAACATTTATGATTATACAATGCATTTGGACAACACAAAGGCTTCACAGTACATATAGGGATCATGCTTTTACATTATAATATCATAAAATAAATAAACACTTTTGTCATAAATTCCCATGCTGGAAGGATGCTTACATTACAGAGCCATTCTATTAATTTATGATTATATATTATATGAGTAGATCAAATAAGTAAGTTAAATAACCAGCTGAAAGTTTCTGAATGAATTTAGCCCATGTGATGAAATAGTTAAGAGACCAAATCAAATTCTCCTCATTGAATGTACATACTAAAAGAATTTTCCAATAAATGTTATGATAAGCAAAATAGAATGACTATTAAATTGAGTCACTAAAGTAATGCATGCAGAAAATAAAATAAAATCTTACACCCTGAAACCTGGATCCTGCTAATATGCTTAAAAATATTAATAAAATAAAATATTTAAAAACTTTGGTACCAGTCACATTCTAACAGGCTAAAATTTTTAATTCAAACGTTGATTCTTTATCATTCACTTATTCTCTGAATACTGTATGGACTAATACCAACTTAAACAATGAATATAATAGGCAAAGACATAGATATTGAAGTAAATCATAAATATAGAGACTTTTTTAATACTTAATATGTGGTGTTGCATTAAGTGCACCATGTGCTACGTTGGAATACTATGTGAAGGCAGTGAACATATATTATTATGTATTGGTAAAAACTATATATATGGGTGATGTATATCAGGAAAAGTTATAATTCCCACTTAGGTAGTAACATGACCTTATTATTTTTATAATCATTATATTAATTACAGGCAAATTTTAAGGCTAACATAGTCAAAAACATTTCATTTAACTTGGGTTTATCTATCTCCAGGTGACATGACAAAAGTCTTGCCTAAACTGGAGAAACTATGTGACAATCGTTTTCCATTTAATTTTTATGAATAATTTTTATTTTTAGGTGTTTATTTATAATAATTGTAAGACATTTAAAAGTATTTTCTTTATGGCATTAGAATATATCACCATATTTATTTATAGCAAGTTTTACACCTGCTACAATAACTCACCGTACAACTGGTTGACTGGTGTAGAATTAGCAGGCATTAAGTCCACCTGTTGTTACCTTAGTTGTTTAAAAGTGTATCAAATAAAGAATAATTAAATGAAAATAAACAATATATAGGAATTGAGAAAACGCAACAAGCACTTATTTTTTATATACCATTTGACTTCATGGCTTGTTACAAACGGATACTCGCTATTAGTAAATCTGTTAGTATCTCACCAGGGTGCTTATTGATTGTGGCGCAAAACATACGTTTTTATCGTTGTTTACCGCAGTCGTGTGCACGCCTTTGCTGACATGCTGTGATCCCTGAAATTAGTATTGACTTAGTACAAGAAATACCAACATCTTAATTTTTAACATGTGGGATTAAGGTGAAACAATTGCAATGGTAGCAACTCTTAATTTACTATAGATGCACATTAACTTAAAATATTGGTAATATCTTTATTATTACATTAAAAAATCTCACTAGAATTACACGTTACGAAACACTTCGATAATAATGTTTCTAAAGAAATAATGTATATTAGAGGATTGAATATATTTACAAGCTTACCTGCACTAGGGCACGGAATATATTTCTACTAAGAAGAGACATAATAATATGTACTTATTAGAGTTAAATTAATTGGAGATAAAAATATTTTTTATGAACAACCTCTCCCGATACTTAAAATAGCATAGCTATTAATTAGTGTGACCAGATTTAAATCTACTACGATAGGAACAAAAACTTCTAAAATCTGTCATTTCTTACCAAAAACTTTAAAATCTAAATAAAAATGCCAATCTGTATGATTTTAATGTAATTTCTTAAATGATGTAACGAGAGAAAGAGAATAATGAGAAAGAGAACACAAGTACACTTGTGAGCAAGGAAAACATACATAAGGTGTTTATATTAATTTTTTGAAGAATCATCTAGTTGGTTTCGAGCTATATAAAAAATGTAAAACAATTAATTTTGCTAAATGATTGCTAAATGTTCTTTGGAATCTGCTAAAAAAATATAGGATGAATCCTGCTAGAATATGAGGATCCTGCTGAAACTGGTCACCCAGAGATGATTGTTGTTGTTGTTACGAATCACCAATTAAGACTAGCAAAGGTCTTAGCCATACAGCCGTATATGATTTGTATTTTGTTCACAAAACTCCTTACAATTGCTGATGCGTCAAATTATGAAGTTTTTGGGAGATTTTGGCGACAGCTTAAACCAGCGGACAGTTGATGACGATAGTATTCCAAGGCCCTTAAGCAGATAAAACAATCCGAGATTGATGTCACTATCAAAACAATTTTGTTACAATAAAAATACATGCGCAGATATTAAATAGACAAAATCGCATCACTTTTACGTATAAAATCCATTTCAAAATATTATTTAAACAATAAAACAGAAGCAGCAATCAGCCGGTGGTCAAGTTTCCGCCAAAACTCAAAAAAGCATAGCGATTTTAATAGCTACTCTTTTTCGTAAACTTGGATAATGCATAGAGATATATACCTATGGAGAGGACATATTCCACTATAGAAATAATAGTTAAACAAATATTTATTATATAGACACACACTTGTCAAAAACAGTTTTGTCTCTTTTTAACAAAGCAGTAGCTGCAATAGAAAAGAGAGACATCTGCAGTTTGTAAAGTGCTTATTTGGTAATAATTTCGTGTGACGTCATTAGCTCATCCTTGCGTGACTGCGCCGCCATGTTAAGCGCCAAGTTCTCAGGTAGATCTGCTGTCAAACTTTCAAAAAAGCAGTGAAATAGTGTCGTACACTCCTATCCATGGTGTCGATAGAAATTATTTTATTAAATTAATTTTGTTCAGAAATGAATATGTAATATTAATAATAGTTTATAAATCCTGGATATCATATTTCATCCACCTTTCATGAGCATGCCAGATTTTCGAATTTTAAATGAACAAAATTAATGAACCTGCGAAAATAATAATATTCTTCATTTGAAATCTGAATAAAAAAAATATATATGATATCCGGCAGGACCGAACATGCTTATATAACTTACCATTTGTGATCAATTATGTGTAGAACGTTCCTGTATACCAATTAATAATAATTAAGTATTGATTTTAAAAACAGTTTATTAGTTAGTAATTTTTATAATTGTTATTTTAATTTTATATACAAGTAAAAATATTCCTTTTCCTACTACTCTGTCAATATTAATTTTTATTGTGTGCGTTATAACTTTTTAACTTTGTTCACATTGATATAAAACAAAACGTGTGTGTGTACTTATGTGCGCACGTAAGAAGTTATACTTCTTTAGCGTAACAAAACAAAAATTAGTAAAATAAAACACGTTTTATATATTCATATATATTTGAATAACTACCTCGAATATAGTTATCAGTTCTGAGGAAAACTTAACAATTGACAGAAAATTACCAATTAAAGTTTTAAAAAATTCACTCTCAACATTTTTCTCAAACGCGCCAAAAAAAGTGTAACTTCAAAACTTGAGTAAGCACTTAGCACACTCAGAAAATTGTTTAAAACAAGTTGCAAGTTAGCTGCCTGCATACTTAACTCATTGTTTGACTGTGTACCTAACACAAAAAATCTGTAGCAGAGTGTGCATTGCGTAAATGTACATATGCGATGAAGCCTCGTGAAGCAGCTCAAGCGAAATTTAAGGGATAGCAATCCAAAACTAATTTAACAACCCAAAAATATCCATTGCTTCATGTGATTGAAAAATTCGTTTGCTCGACAACAAAAACCACGCAATGGATGTTGTTAAACTGTCAAATTGGTATGATTTGCCATTTTAGGTATATTACGCATTTAGGCTATGGATGGCTTCTATAATTATATGAAATAAGAACAAACTCATATTAGTAAAAATATCGATATTAGCTGCCCAAAGTGCTGAGTTACAACCCTATAAAAGACGGCCATTTTATGCGCCAGAATTGTTTAGGTAGCCACGCTAACTCTTTTGGTATAGTCCATATACTTCTAAGTCAGTGGGATAATGTTATACTTGGTCAACACTCGTTTGTGGTAAAATGACAATATCTGAGATATCGATAAAAAATATGAGAATTCAATTACTTAATTTACCGTGACCGACAATAAATCATGTGATAATAAATTAATGTAATAATAAATTAATTAACACTGTCTTAAATTTGAACTTGTAACAAATATTTTCTGAGACATGAGCTGCGTGTATAGGAGTATAATAGTCATAAAATTTAACACAATCGTTACATACCCATATTTTAACATAAGAATGTATTCAAATAAAATAGAAATATAGTTTTCTACGCCTAATAAGTACCTATTTTCCAATTTAAATTGTACAAAAATTAATCTCAGAAAATATTTAAAAAAAATATGAATACTGACAACCCTGTAGGTCTAGGAAATTGATTTTTATGTCACTCCTTGGTGTTATGTGACGGCGCAACATTTAAACTCGATACAAAATTAATCTTATATAGATTGGACATAAACGTGCAATAAACATGTATTCAAGTTTAAACATATATTAAATCAATTTGAAAGTTAAAAAATAAATCAAAAATCTTACTATTTAAAAAAGAGGTAAGTCTTCAATACATTTGCTTGGAAAAATGCAGAAAAGCATTACTGAGCATTACCTAATATTTTATGAATTTTTTCTGACACTCATAATACAGTGCTAATTTTTGTTTTTTACATAATTGGTTTTGACTATATTTAAATATATTATACTATATTTAAATATATTATATGTAAGTATAATGTTTAAGGCACGTGGTATCGATCACACGGTCTGCCGTCCTGGTAGTAATATGAATTAATATACGAGCGTGAATCTATCAAAGAACGTGATAACGAGGTTGCTTTGGGTCAGGGGCAGTTATTGATATTTTATTAAATGAGTTCACATCATTCCTTCATTAAACAATAATAGGAAAACAATAATTATCTGAAGTATTTCTTGTTCAATTTCTGGTGGTGTGTCTATGCCAGTGCAGGTGTATTTCGTACGATAAATTTCTGCCGTATTAATTCAATATATTTCTTTATTAATTCATTTGAACAAACTTAATCAGTTTTTCTCCAAGTGACTCCTCTAATAATTCAGAAACGGTAAGTATTTATTAAACATTTCATCTCCTAATATTTCATGTGCTATTAATATTTTTTATAAAAAGGCCGCGATATTTAAACAACAAAAGCAACAAGGTCGTTAGCATTTTTGTGTTTTAATTATTCAAATATATCAAAATTAATGTTTGTTTGTTCGTATTTTATGCGCTGCCATACCGTTCATTAGATCACGGTAAAACTTTGTCATCATATTGTTTGCACTTCCGCGAAGGTTATAGGCATAGTATCAAATTTATTTGAAAGTTATGTACCTATTATTCAACTTCAAGGAATGTATTATCATCCTCAATTAAACAATATAAGTATTCCAATTTTAAAACGATATTTCCGCAATCATTTCTTCTGCGGCTACAACACGCTGGGTACCAGCCGGTGTTAATAAAATTAATAATTCGTATAGGTCACCAACAAACGAAACTCGTTTGTCAACACAAAATTAAAGTCGTTATTCGTAAAATGTTTTAGTTTTGTCACAGAATAATGTTTAAACAAGAAGTTTTATCGAAATATATTTCGATTTGTATATTTAGTATATTTCGTTATTTATAAAATGACATCATTAACATTACCCTTATTATATTTATTAGCCCTATGAATGATTCCAAATGTAGTATTTTTTAAAATTATTCAAAACCCAGGAAAACCGGGCTGGTGTTAGAAAAGCCCTTTGAACCCTTTACTCTTAGAACTGAAAATGCTGTTTACCACTAGTCGATTTTAATTTTAACTAACTTTCCACCATCATCATTCAACACATTTCTACTAGATTACTCTTATTTTTCCTCTTCTTCACTTGAACACCTCGTGAAAGTCCACTAGACATAGCTGCTTCCTGTCGTTATTGGGAGATTTCGTATCTTTTATACATTGGTCTCCTTTGGTCTTATTTTTCGTTAATAAATATAAATACTTAGACTTAGGATAACACTTTATTTTTAAATTGAAAACTGAAGTGGATAGGTATCATATGTAAGTACGCAAAAATACGAAGGAATTAATTACGCCTTCGTAACTTCAATAAAGCTTATATGCGATTTGAAACATCTCACTTTTACTTTTTAATCAATAAAAATCTCATTCAAATTAAAACTAAAAACCATTAAAAGTAGTAGTTTATTAAAAATATAATAAATTTGGTAATTAGGTGCCGATTAACTTTGTACGTGCTGAATATGTACCGTGTAGTGGCGGTGTAAGAATATCCACTATCCCATATCATCCCGTGGGTGTCGTAAAAGGCGACAGAGTGAAACAAATCAGAGGATGGGCAACAGCGTCCTCCTAATAACGACAAAAAAAACTGCAGTTACTAACTTTTGCCAAGCGTGGCATTTATGGCAAATATCCCCCCTATGTGGCAATCAATCAATAAAGCTAATATGCGATTAAAACGAATAAAGGTCCAGTAATTAATTTAATTGCCTACCTGCTAAGCATGGCAACTTTGACAAATATCCCTCATAT